ATCTCTCCCAAACTAAATGCTCAATTAGTTAGATCTTTCAGATAATAATATTAATCATTTCCTCCTATTGGACCTAACTCGATATGAGGAAAATCTGTTGATATAACATCTTTTGATTTACCTCATTACCTATTAGATCTATCAAATGGAGCAAAATTGACGAATATATCTTCTCAGACATCAATCACGAACGTAGCTTGAACATGAAAAGAAAGTAATGAATAAGCATGGAAGTGTTCGATAGACCTCGTTGGATAATGTTGAATCACGATAATGAAACTGTTGCTGGACTACTATCCTGGCGAAAAATTGGTGGATGGATGATTATGAGACCTACATTGGAGCTCCGCTCGAATTAGCAAACCAAGACAAACACTCGGTAACTCGGTACCCAATTGCATCATGCATACGGCTGGAGATGACAGACATACTGTAATCCTGGTCAACCAGTATTCCGCGATAACCATTATATTGTTCTCATCTTTCCTTATATTATGAATGGACTGCTTACATAAGCACCGAACCTGTAACCCGTACCTAGTGCATGTAGACCGTCCTCGTTCCTAGACGTATACACAGTGGTCCTGTCAAGTTGTGTGACAACTCAGTGAGCCCTACAGACGACGGGCTCTCACATACTAGTATTTCCGAAATCACATGCTGAAGTAATTTGAGTCCCCATTATTTAAAAACCACACAACATGTGGCATTCAAACAAATTGCCATTTAACGCCGGTAAGTAGGCCCCTGTCCAAGGAGCCTGCCAATGCTTCGAAAACGGCAGGGCTAGCATCGCGGTCGCACCGCAGCCAGGGCAAACGTCATTCACCGTTGCGGTCACGGTAGTGCTTTCCCCTACAAACCGATAACAGTGAAGTGTTTTAGCCAGCAGAAACAAACCGTCTTACAAGAAATTTGGACAATCTTGCCACACGCTAGACCATGAGTGGGATTGCTATCTGTTTCACTGTGTATCGGAATGAAAACGTCAGTTCATTGCATTCGATTCGACCAAAAAGACATACAGAGAGTTGAATAACGCTTGGCCTAGGGCAACCGTGAAGTCACTGTTCAGTGTCGCTTCCTTGATCTCCACAAACAGTTGTTCTAACATCATAGAAAGCCAGTCTGCCAGTCATGGTTCCGGTTGGAGCACAACAGCAAGAGTAGGGTGAGGAGTGTAAATAAGAAGAAGGATTTCATTGCTGGTTTTCAGGAATGTAGTGGGATGAATGTTGTACATTTCGCATTTTTGCTCCCCTTTTAAACTCCTCTGACAAGGGATTCAAACTTAGTAAGTCTCGCACGTCCAGCGGTGATTGTGACGTTCCGAAATGGAGAAATATTTCATAGATGATTAATCCACGCTTACCCACCGCTTATCCAAAGGCCGTAGACTCCGTTGCGCCAGGTTATAAATAGCTTCGAATGATCGTTCGAAAAGAGTATTTCGTTTTTGGATTCGATGGTGGCCATCAACCACCTTATTGAGCCGTGGGAGAAACAGCCGGCCGGATGCTGCTAGCGAACAGAGAAGTTGTGATTCAGAGGGCATCTGAAAAAACTAATCCTTATTATCGAATCCAGTAACTTAGGAAACAACCATGTAGAATGATTTTCGGAGGCGTTGTGCACGGTTTAAGGACTGCAATACTAGGTTTTCTAGGCATCATTACTTTCCTGACGCCGCTTCGTAAGACATACGAATGGCGCGTTGGTTGAACGCCTTTGGCCATCTCTGAATTCCCATCTATACAGAACGCATATTCGCGAGGGCATAAAAATTTACTCATCCACTATGAGGTCTTTTTGTCGAAAATAAGGAGCAGGCCGATCAATATGTGCCGTAGTACTGTGAGTCTAGTAGCTCCTCAGTCCAATCAGTTTAAGTCGTCGGATTTATTTCTTGTAAAGGCTATAGCTCATCTTATTAGCTAAAGGAGCCAAGGAGTATCTAATATCTTTATTTAAATTAGGGGGAGAGCCGTATGCGGTGAAAGTCGCACGTACGGTTCGGGAAAGGCTTTTTAACTAATCTTAATTTTTACTAATTACAGTAAAATTCTTATAAAGAGGTTACTATAATGCTTAAAGAAAGAAAAAAGAGGGTTAACCTGCTATTTCACAATGGTAATTGCGGTTCCAACTGGAATCAAAATCTTCTCATGGCTCGCTACTTTTTACGGTGGATACACACAAGCGAGTGATATGATTTATAAGAGATCGATGCAGCAAATGCCTCAGGAGTAGAATATCTGGTGTTGAACGATCTAATAAACGATCAGTTGATTTGTCTCAAACCCGTTGAACCTCGGTGTTTTGAGTTCTTGCGAAGGAATGAATGACACAGAGATCAGTTCCCGGTGCCTCCGTAATAATTCGGTATGGTTAGTCCTTCAGTGCCCATCAGCCATAGCCACAAAACCAGAAGACCTCGGCAGACAATAAACTGAACACGACTCGTAATAAGGTCTGATCTTTCCCGTAATTATTTTACAAAGAAGGATAACACGATACAGTAATTTAATACGAGCCAGAAGGATATTTTACTGAATATGTTGCCGAAGGAGTTCACGCCGTGAATATGGGTTCAACAGTAGATGTAGGTTCTCCAGTACACATCGCTGTATCAGTCAACATGGGAGCCTCAGTACTGGTGGGTGCAGAGGCTCCTTGTACATCCAGATAGCTCAGATAATTATCATCATGCATTCGCGATATCCTCCGCCCAGAAGGCGACTATACAGGTGCATAGAAAATGCCAGTGACAAGCTAATTACCATTGAGAAAAATAAACTCACAATCGGTATGTTCCCTGAAGGTACCAGCAGGATCCACAGTTAATGGGATGTGGGATGCGTTAGATTATATTTTTAATAATTAAAAATAATACATACGGTTGTTCACAGGTACGGTACTAAGAGCCCGTGCACGTGCGTCGACTTGGTCTAAATTCATGACTCCACCTATATTTATCTCGATCAGTATGCTTAGCAATGTGGCTAGCATCAGGAAACTTGGTAAAAAGCGGCGCCTAATGGCTCGGTAATGAATTTTGGTTATTCCTCTAGAACCACACAGGGATATCTTAACATGACCATGCTAGTGATCCTAGTTTATGTACATTTCCCTAGCAAAATCTGCATGGACATTATCTCAACACAGACTGTATAGGTGGCCCCCGTTATTTGTCATGAGAGGGTAACAGATCATATGAACCAGGTTCTCAAAAAAAAATAGGATATCCCTGTGTTGTTCCATACACAGGAGGCATTGAGGAGTTTTCCTAGAAGAAAACAATGGGAAAACCTTAAAAGTGCACCCTATTTCTTCAGTGTTTTCCCATGAATTGTGTTAAAACCTTAATAAATGTTGGTTTTCTTTTGGTTTTCCTTCAATATTTGGGAAACCACTGAAGAAATGGGGTTAACTTATAAGATTTTCTTAATGTTTTTCTCAGCAGAAAATCCCTCAGTGCTTCCTGTGATAGGAATAACCAAAATTTGTTACCGAGCCATTAGGCACCGGTTTGTACCAAGTTTCCTGATATAGAGTTATATGTACAGACAGACCTTGCCACGACGTGCAATTCTCGCACCCGCAGATCCATTTCCAATGGGTATCATCAATGTTACTAGACGGAAGAGTAGTTAAGGTAGGTCCTACATAAGCAGTAGGCAATCCGTATTTACTACAAAACATTTAGTGGGTAGATTTTATATAAATGAATAAATCGACATACGGGGTAAACCGAGCTGAGGAAACGATTGCATCTGCATTGGGCCAAGCCTCAAGGAGTAAGGCTATGGAAATTGTTTAGTTCGTGTCATAAATATTTAAACCGAGATGTCAAGACCTACAGTTAAGCATCGCGCCACCAATGGATAGTCCAACCCATTTATTTACAACGGGTGAAATGATTTCCGCAATGATTCTGGCAGAATTGCCTCCATGGGGATCTAAAAAGAAATTAATGCTCGATCATGGCATACAACACGCCTTGACATACCGGTGGGAAGACAGCCCAAAGGTTACGGAATGCACTGGATCCTTGAAGGCCTGGAAATTGATTCCATTCTCAGAATCGAAGAACGGAGTACTCTTTTGAGCAGTCGCTATCATAGTATTTAATATAGGGAATCTTTGAGTAAAAATGTGAGATTAAGTAAGTCCAATGAGGCCCAAACTACTAGAAAGTGGGCTGTGCCTCCCATGCTGGTAAGTTATTATTCTTACTTTTCGAAAAGAGGAATGAATTGAATGTAAAACTTGCTTACTTTTATGTGATTCAGTCCTAACGTGGTAGAAGGCTTTGTTAGTTTAGCCATCCTTCGGTTACTCCGGTCGTCTTCCGGTGGATTAATACGGACCAGGACGCATTTAAGGATGGGTTAAATTCGGTCATAATTGATAAAGTATGCTCCCCGAATATGAAATACTGTCGTCGCAGAACTGCTGCTTATTCATACAGTTAGCGAGCTTAGATAGCGGAAAATGCATATCATCCTACATTCCTATGGATGGAAAGAACGTTTCCCTGCTGGAGTATTAATTGTTAGATGATTGGTCTACTTATCTATAAAGAACTTTGGTTAGGAGCGGTATATATGATTTGAAGCTTACCTTTGAATCAGCAGCAATGCCTCACGGTCTGTGTAGGTGGAGCCCTCCGACAATTGGTCTTGGGTGAAAGGCGAGAAAGTGTTACTTATAGTAAACGCCTTGATAATAGCGTCCCAAAGTGTCCATATATTCTTGTTGTAACGCAATTACACAATGACTCTTTAACAGACGGACTTAAGCATAAGTTACACAGCAACCCTGGGGTAATAAATCAGCTTGGTTTCCGATTGACGAGGAAAACCTGTAGATTGTACTCATAACACATAATGAGGAAACAGGGAGCTTCAAAGAAATACATCAACTTCTTTCTCTTGGCAAGAATGGGTTATAATCAGAGAGAGAGTGCACTGTAACATGTCCGTGCGTATCAAAAAGAATGCCCACTGGCTGGATTGAACAACCGACCTTGTCATGACCTTTACAAGTGACACGCACTACCACTGTGCTAAGCAGGCCGCATGTTCAAGAACCAACGGATCCAACACGAGCTTGATGGATGCTAGTGTGGATATCACTGATGCATGCAAGGGTATTTATATGGGAACTCGCGCTCGGAAACGACGTAAATTACAGCGCTTTCGATTATGTAAGGCGCGCGCTTTACAACTCAACACAATTCTCTCAACGCGCAACCGCGATAACTCCACATCCGCTGCATGAAAAGCTTTGAAACGTTAAATTCAACACTCCCTATTTGTAATCCAGGGTACAATTACTTAAAATATATGAAATTGTTTCTGAATAGAATTCAAACCAAAAACACGCGCAACCAAAGGTGTGGATCATTTGTCGGGCTTTATAGGATTTTAAGAACCTAGATAACATCTTATCCATCATATCTAGGGTATCTAACTTCGTATATGACTGTAAAGGATGCCAGAAGGATATAAACGGGGTGAACCTTTTGTTCATCAACCTTATCCTGCAGTTTCTGAGTTTTACAGAGTCCTTGGGGACATGGGGCAAGTTGGAGGCACTAGATATGCTTTATTAGACATTTTAAATGTACTATAATACCCAGTAATTCTAACAGATGGTTCATGCTTTTGGTTGCGCATACTTTTGACCCGAAATTTATGCAGAAGCAATTTAATATATTTTAAGTTTGTATACCCTAGATTACATATAGGAAAGATTGGATTTAAAGTTTCGAAGCTTTTCATGCAGCTGTCATGAAGCTATCGCGGTTGCGCGTTGAGAGAGTTGTGTTGAGTTGTAAAGCGCGCGCCTTACGTAATCGAAAGCGCTGTAATATTTTATTCGAGTTGGTGCCCCTTAAAAAATAATTTGGAGGGAGATATTTAAACCTTGAAGGTATTCTGGATAGAATGCACGAACGAGTCTTCTGAATAAATTTTCTACGAACGGGTATTATAGAAAACATGCCAACGGCATTCCCAATGCATATTGGGCGAATGGGTGATTTCCGCAACTTGTGTAAAGTCTCGAACGTGTATAATTCTTGGAAAGGCTCAATTGCGTGGATACTTAGCAAAAATCCCGTTTGGTGGATTTCCAAGAACTCAAAAGTCATGATCGGGCAAAACCTTTGGGGGGGATGTACTGAACGGGTCTTCTTAATAGGGTAATTCATACAACCCTTAAAAATGTGTAGCGTATCTCACAAAAACGGCAGTAAGGAAATGAGCGTATTCGTAGCCGCATTAATTGGCGCTACAAAGCTTCTTTCTGTAGTATCCGTAGATGTGGAATTATTTGCAGATGAGTCACCACAACCAGAGATATCAGACCGAAATCCATTGAGTGGGCCTATATTTGGCGACTCAGAAAGTGGGCCTGCCCCTATCTAACTTTTGTCAACCAGAGTGAAGCTAGAGAAACGTAGCTAAAGCTAGCTGCAAATACACTCTATTATTACAAAGTCGCTCCACAAAGTCGCTTTTTGGTAAAATCCACCAATAATGTGCCTCTAAAATATAAATATCTTCACATGGAGTGGGCAATTCGTGGGGGCAGCTTGAGAAGAGACGTCAAATGACATCGTAGCTAACAGAAGCTATGCTCCGAACAGTCGCCCATGCATTTATAGACTGTTGTGGAACATCGTGTATCGACTCTCATGACTATGGATGCTACCCTCACTCCTCACACTAACCCCGAGAACGTCTTCGAGATTAAATCCAACGCGACCTCTCAAACAGAATTTGTACAATTCGATTCTGAGGACTTTCTGAAGGACACTAGTACCGCTGGAAATGGCGAACTTACTCTGGTTCTAGCATCTAACAACGGGGTTATAAAGGAAAACCGTGTGGTTGTTGCCTTTCCGAAATCATACGAGGCGAGTTTCCTTTTTTTCACATTGGACTTGCTGTAGGTTGCTTATTTTTATATTCAATATACCCTTACAGGAAGCTTTGGATAAGGCCATTCAGGGCTTCAAAAGATACCAGGCTGATTATAACATCGAAAATACCAAACTATGTCGTCAAGTCAAGAAGCCAAACAGCGATCATCTGATTTGGGCAGACATATCTCCTCCTGGCTGGGCTCTCCTCGTTCATCCGGGAGAGCAAGTGACATTGTTTGCTTTGGATCCCATTAGATCAAAAGATGATACGACCTTCCTAGAGGGCTATATAGGGATCTCATTTGGATTTAAAATCGGCTGGGCCACTGCTTGGTCTAATCGCAAACAGGTCAAGCCATTCGGAAAACCCACAATAGGACGTCCAAAATCATATGAGGTGGTCATCTTTCTCCCTTCAGAACGCAGCGACTATCTCATAAGCAGTCCAGGAAGCGAACGAGCTCATTCGTAGCCTGATTGACTGGCGCTTCAAAGCTCCTCATTTCTATAGGATCCGCAAGTAGGCATTTTCGGAGATAGCTCTCTGCTGATCAACTTTTAGGCTGTCTTCTTCACCTGTTCAGGATCCTCGGTTCGCGCGTGCTCGTACGTGTGAGGCCTGAATGATCTCCAGATATTTATTGATTGGGCTTCAGGGACTATGTTTGGCGAAACCACTATGCCTCGTTATTATAAATTCGCACCCCAGACCGTTAATGTTGACTGTAGGGACAGATATTGGATTCCGTTTCCGGAGGCGGCTTATACAGATGAGGAGGAATGGCGGAAGTTCGTCCCCAAGCCGGAGGGCCCCGAAATCCTGGGATTTATGTTGCAGTAATTGCAATGCAATGAGATTCTTTTATTTTAAGTTGAGGATTTGAGAACGACTAGCAATTTGAAGGTTTTAGGCACATAATCGTGGTATCGTTCGGTGATATTCTGGCGGAGAACGAACAGGAAATGCTCGACGATTTTTTTAGCATATACGGGATTGTTTGGCGATATGGAAAAGCAAAATATTGAGTCGCTGGATGTACTAATCGGAATGAGGGGAGGGACAAACCAAGTTGGAAAGCTGCAGAGGGAAATGTATTGAGTGAAAAGCTTATTCAGACTGCGTAGGAGATCTCCGTTATTACCTGAGGTGGTCAATGGTGTTGATATCTTCTTTTAAACCCTTCTGTGATGTCTTTACTATCGTTCCATGTAGTAGAAATGATTATTTATTGTCTCATTACCTCATTTAAAGTTAGTATAGAAAAGACAGCTAATTATTCAACTGTCAGAGTTCACTTATCTTGGTAATACTTAAGTCGTTGGCACCGATGGACCTTCACGGTTCGTAGGAGAACATCACAAAAAATATTTATTCGATATTGTATTGATGAGTGCGATTGCTACTAAAACCTAGCAGTAATTTCAGAAATATCCGGAATAATTGTCCAATTGTAAACTATAGTATGAGAACGAGTCAGAAAAAGAAAACAAAAACAAAAACGAATGAGAGTATATTTCGAATCAATCGAGTATCCGATATCCGAGAGAGTCGAGAGTGGGTCCTTTTTAGACAGCAGTCTGAGGGCTAGGCGCGATAGGTGTCCAGAATTGATTCGTGTTACCATCGGTGCAATTCCAGATTTGAAGCTAACATTCCAATATCTCAGCATCGCCATAATCTAAAGTAAAATAAATAAATTCAACTCACCTGATTACCAGGGCTAACATTCCCATCCGTCAAATCCACACACATAGGGAAATTTTGCGCAATGCCATTCCACCTAATTTGGCCGGTGGGCAGCCACCTCTGATTCGGGCCATCAGTGCAATCCCACACCTGCAACTTCGTGCCTGGCGCATCTATACCATCAGTCACATCAAGGCACTTCACAGGCCCAGCACCGTCATCGCCGAATGCGAGTTGATAGAGGCCTGTGTTTCCGTGGCCGGGTTGAGGGGCGTTCCAGACTTTGCGGGAGGTGGTGTCGTCACAAGGAACGGCGAAGACTGGTGCACCATTGGCTGTACTGTTGGCAGCCATGCAGAGAGAAGCTGGATGGTATGTAAGTTATGGATTAAATAAAAGGGATGGGATACGTACATCCGGAAGCTGCGGTGTTGACGACTTCACTGATTGGCCTAATAAAACATAAGATTCAATAAAGCATTACTATTCTGGTGACATAAAAACGTACTGCAAGATCGCCGCTGTAGACCATATTTGATTGCGGTTGGCGAGGCTGTCGTCGCATTGCCAGATTTGAAGCTATAAAATAAATTCAGTAAAAATTCAATCTATTCAAATAAAGCACGCACTTGATTCCCATTATTCAAATTTCCATCCGTCAAATCAAGACAGAATGATTCATCCTGCGTTCCGGCCCACTTAATCTGTCCATGAGTGTTCCAAACCCATTGTTGACCGGCAGTGCCATCACAAGAGTTAATGTTGACTTTCGCTCCATTAGTGGCTTGCGGAGCTTGGAGACAGAAGGTATTGAAGATTTGAATTTGACCTATGGTAGTTCCAGCGGGCTGGGTAAATTCGAATATGCGCTGCTCAGTGGAAACAGAGCAATCTTCAATAACAAGGGCAGAGCCATTTGCTGCACTGAAGACGGTAAGGCATGGTGTGCGTGGAAAACCGTCATGGAAGGTGGGTTTCACTTCAAAGAAGTCGCCAACGCTGTTAGAATGAATATCAATTAAACGTACTCGGAAAGATGGTATACTATTAACTCACGTAGGCAGGTTGATCTGGGCGTGGACACCACCCAGAACAGCAATTGCTACGAGAGCAGAGAATAGGGAATTCATTGGCTTGAGAATGTGAAGAGATGGGTGTAGAAAAAGTAGAGAACTTACATCTCTTTTATACCAGTTTTGTATAATAAGAATCATTAATTATCGGCCAGACGCATGTGCATGTGTATATTTCCCACCGTCAGTCCGTTGGTCGCAGTGGCCGGTCACGGCGCGTGAAATGAAAGGAGCCCCTAGGAACACTCGAAGTAAACCGGTGCCTGATGCCGCGAGATGCCGATTTGTTATTTTAACATACATAGAAAGGGACAGACGAAAAGTCGCCAAAAGATTGGGAATGTGCGGATGTTTGCGACGGCGGGTCCGGCGTTGCGGAGTATC